CCCTCTCCACCACTCTTGATCCCCTTGCCTCCCTCACCTCCTGAATCATCTCCTATTCACGAACCTCACCCTGGTACGCCAGCCACCTCCGCTCCTTCAAGGGTCAAGTGCAGGCCACCGAACGCATCTGGCTCAAGTCTGACCTAACGGCCCATCAGCAGATCTGGCTGGTTCTCATCAAAACGTACTGCTCTGCCCTCGCCTCCGCCAAATCATCCTTCTACTCCAAGATAATCTTGGAAGTGAAGGACTACCCTAGGCTCCTATTCTCCACCACCAACCAGCTCCTCCGTCCACCCTCCCATGCCTCGTCCATTCTCTCCTCAAGCTCTGACTGTGAGGAGATGCTGGATTTCTTCGAGTCCAAAATCGAGGAGATCCTTTCAGCTGCCTCCGTCCTCTCAACCGTCACTCCCTCCCCATCTCCCCTCCCCCACTCTCCGACTCCTTCTCATTCCTCCCTCTACATTTTCAAACCTAAATCTCCCTCCGCTCTCATCACCATTATATCAAGCATGAAACACACCACCTGCTTCCTTGACCTCATCCCCACCCCTCTCCTTTCCTCCCTCCTTGACCCCATCCAAACCCCTCTCCTTATCTCCCAGCTCCACCTCCTCGTACCTCTACTCTCCGACACCATCAATCTCTCCCTTTCATCTGGCACCATTCCATCCCCCTAAAATCAGCTACAATCACACCCATCCTGAAAAAATCTTCCCTGGACCCATCCCTACATTCTAACTACCGGCCCATCTCCAACCTCCCTTTTCTTTCGAAAGGTCCTTGAAAGCGTCGTTACTTCTCAGCTTCACTCATTCCTCTCTTACTAATCCTTCAAAGAGCCCCTCCAAACGGGTTTCCGAGCTGCTCACAGCACGGAAACTGCTCTGGTCAAGGTGGCAAACGATATTTGTGACCAGGGCTCCCTCTGCCACCTCGTACTCCTCGACTTCTCTGCTGCCTTTAATACCGTGGACCACTCTATCCTCCTTCACTGCCTCTCCTCTCACCTCAATCTTCAAGGCCATGAACGGTTCAGGTCTTATTTCACACACAGTCTCCAATTTGTCTCCGCCAACGGTTTCTGTTCCACACATACTCGTGAGGTGCTCCTCAGAGCTCTGTCCTCGGTACCCTCCTCTTCAATCTCTACATGCTCCCCTTGGTGACATCATCTGCAGACATGGGGTCAACTTCCAAAAGGACACAGATGACTCTTCCTCCACTCTCGATTCCAGGACAACTGATGTCCTGACAGACTGTCTGTCTGACATCCAAGTCCTGGATGAGAGCCAACTTTCTACAGCAAGACTGAGGCCCTCCTGAATGGTTTACGCCAGCGCCTCCGCACTTCAGGCACTGGCAGCATCAGCATCCACGGTTGCACACTCCACTCCAGTTAGGAACCTGGGCGTTTTGTTCGACCCTCAACTGTCCTTTCTCCCCCATATCCGTGCCATGACCCGCTCTGCCTTCCCCCACCTCTGCAACATTGCCCTACTCCGCCGCTGCCTCACCCATCAGGCCACTGAAAACCTCATACACTCATTCGTCACCTCAAGGATTGACTATCAAAACTCCCTTCTTGTCGGCCACCCCAACTCTTCCCTCCACAAGCTGCAGATCATCCAGAACTCTGCAGCTCCTGTCCTCTCCCGCACCAGGCTCTGTGGCTCCGTCACCCCCACGGTCGCCTGGCTCCACTGGCTCCCCTTTCCTCAGAGGATAGAATTCAAAATACTTGTCCTCACTTTCAAGGTCCTCCACAGCCTTGCACCCCTCCTACATCTCTGACCTGCTGAACCCCTATCAGGCTGTCTGCTCTCTCCACTTTGCAGGTTCCACTCTGTTCCAGGTTTCCCGCCCGACCTGCCTACCATCGGCAGCCTCTCTGCCCCCAGTTTTTGGAACTCCATCCCACAATCCCTTCGCTTTGCTCCCTCTCTTGCCTTCTTCAAGGCAGGACTCAAGACTTTTTGACCGTGCCTTCAGCCGCCCTCCTACCCCCTCTGCCCTCCCCCATGTCCCTGTCCCCCATGCTCAAGTCCTGATCCCTGCTTGGGTCCTGATCCCTGACTGTTCAGCGCCTTGGGATGTCCCCCTGACGTGAAAAGAGCTTTACAAATGTAATTTTGTTGTTCATGTTGTTGTGCACAATTGGCTGCCCCTTTTCAACCACAAAATACAGTCAGCACACTTTACAGTATATCTTGTGAAACACATTGAGATGTCTCGAAGATATAAGGCGCTACATCAAATGCAAGAATTGTTTATTATTATTACTTCCGAAATGAAGCCCACCACCTGCTCCCTTGATCCCATCCCTTCCTCGCCATTTACCTCCCAACTCCACTTCCTCACCCACCTAGAAACAGACATTGTGAACCTCTCCCTCTCCTCCCATGCCGTCAGCGTCTCCTCACCTCAGTCACTGACTGCATCACTATTCACGGATGCACTGAAACAACCATTTGTAATAAACAATTCCAAAATATATTCTAAATGTTATTGGATACTTTCAGACTATTTCAGTACACGTACACAACTTATTCTATAAAAATTCACACGAATATTTATACTCTCTCTTATAAAACTGATAAAATGTTGATCTACCGTACTATAATGACTTATTGCAGATATGCTACAATTGACCTTGGGGAAATAAAACTTCATGCTTGGAAACTTGAACCTAATCTCAATTAAATGTTTCAGCTCCAAATCCAGTTGCAGAATGCCAAATACTACTCTAGGTGTCCTGGGACATTTCACAGTACTTTGTTCTTCAAGACAACAGCATTCCTGTGGATCAAGTCCAAGTACTCCAGTCTAGTCATACTGATATAATTCCAGGGTGGTAACAATGCACTCATATCTTAGGATCTGAACAGTGTATCTTGTACGACAAGGATTTCACTCTGCTTTTTATTAAATTATGTTAACCATTCTTACTACAGAAAGTGAGTGGAGACCAAAAGGGTAGCTTTTGTTAATGCAACCACTATAAGAATCAACTCTAATAGATTTTGCAGCTTTGTTCAGGTTTGTTTTTCACCCACATGCTGGAGGGTGTTTTTTTTTTACAAAAAGGGATAATGAAGAATTCAGGAAAGTAAGACTGCATTGGTCCCACCGCATGACAATCTGGAAAAATAATGTACTCCCAATTGATCAGTGTTGAAAAACAATACAGTAAAAAAAGCCAAGCTTTGATTAAAGCCACTGGCACAAACAATACCCACCCATGATGTAAGATTATACAATGAAGCAAACCCAATTAAGAGATTGCCAGTACCCTTCTCTGAGGCATCATTCCTTTTTGATATACACTTTACCGAAGACTCTTAGGAACATAAGTGGCACAATAATTTAATCTGGATTTAAATTATTTTTAATACTTTGTTTTTCAGAAATATTTATTAATAAAGGAACCAGTCACTGGTACTGTAAGGAAATTGAACGATAATGAAAAGTTCCACTTCAGTACTTCCAGCTCATAGTCTAACACTCCAGTGTAATGCTGGGGTGCACTGTATTACCAGATGTGCTGTCTTTCAGATGAGCTGGAGCCAAATGTAGCAATTCAATCTCTACTCCAGTTGAGATCAAGTAACTTAGCACAGATAAAGTCAAACCCTTGATACACCACTGGGGGAAGTAGTTTTACTCAATGGGATTGCAAGTAGCATCGTGCTTATATTTAATTCACTTAAAACATTGAAGACGATGGATGAACGTTCGAGTTTCCATGGAATGTAACTTGAAATCTGAAAGATTAAAAACCCTGCAGGAGCTTTTTTCCAGGATCTGAATCACAAGCCAATACTTAAAACCTAGCGAGGAAGAATTAACTGATGTTTGAAATGACTAAAAGTTAAGCAGCAAAAGAAATCATAATAATAATATTTTATGCAGCAGAAGCTGAATATCAAGAAAAAAATGTGTCAAAGACTCCAATCTGCTCAATAATGCTCTTAATGTTGATGCCTTGCCAAGCCAACATTCAGCAAGGGAATGAGTTACAATATGTTGAATTGTACTTAGTGCTTAATTCATTGCTCTGCAAGCCTTTTTAACATTTATATGCCGAGGTAAATTGCACATCAGATTAATGTTAATGTTCCCAGACTAGTTCATTATTTGTGAAGCAGAAGAATTCAGCCAGTCCAAGATTTGTACTTGCATTATAGCTTCAGTTACAGTTAAACGTTTAGAAAAAGAATGAAAGAGGAATATTTTTGCCACCAAATCCATTAATTCCATGGAAAGTTCCCTCAATCTTTAACTCTTCCAACCATAATCTGTTAAAATTTATCCCAAATTTTGTAAGTAATCAAGCTGAACACTAGATCAACAGGATCACAAAACCAAATAAGTTCACAACACAAGAATAATTAAAGAGTTCACAACAGATCCGTTACATATTTAAAACAATTTATTTAGATAGAAAAATGTGCTTCATACTTCAATACTCTTCAATGCTCCATACACAGAAGAAACACAAACACATATTAATTAAATATACATCACCTTCTCATCTTGCCCCCATCCCAAACATTTCCTATATTGATGTTTCCATATCTCTCAGAATCTAATAACAGCATCACAAAAGCTAGACATGTTAAAATTTAGTCATTATATTTTTCTCACCAAAATAAATTTTCCCCCTGAGGTCATTGGGTGTGCTTGGGTACAATTCATCTCTAAGTGACTTTCTTCATGTCTAAGACTAGATACTGAGTGTCAGCGGGCAATTTGACTGCAGAGAACATCTCAGTCAGAGAACGGTTGTACTACAGCGAGATCAGAAAACCCATGATGTTTTCCTCTTGAAGGAACGGGAGCTGAGCTGAATTGCCACTTTGTAAACTGAAAGCACTCAACAAAACAACACATATTTAGAAATGTCAGACTCTTTCACACTCAGGGAAGCCAATTGCAAATGTTAATTATAGTACTACTCATTAAAAATTACAAAGTGCTCATAGGCAGTATCTTACCTCAGGCTGAATAGCTTTAAAAACTGGTGCATCCATTAGCGTTATTTGACTCTGAAACAAAGCAAATAGACATGTTAATCATTTGATTGTATAAATTTCAAAATAATTTATATTTTTATTAAATAATATACCAATTAAACAATAATAATGATAATCTTTTCCTTGCATTTGATAAAGCACCTTATCTCGTTATCAAGACGACTCAAAGCACTGCATAGGATATACTGTAAAGTGGATTGACTGTGTATTTGTGGGCAAAATGCAGCAGCCAGTCTGTGCACAGCAATGTCCCACAAACAGCCATGGAATGAGTGACACATTTTATTTGGAGCATTTGTAGGCCAGCACACCAGGAGAAATACCTTTCCCTTTTCAAGCAATGCATGGGATCTTTAATGTCCAACCTGAATAGGCAGATGGGACTTTGGTTTAACATTTCATCTTAAAGACGATAATGCAACAACCCCTCCCCCATCACTGCATTGGAGTACCAGCTTAGACTCTGCAACTCCAAGTTCCAACGTGGGGCTTGAACCCGTAACCTTGTGACTCAGAGGTAAGAGTGTTACCACTGTGCCAGGCTGACTGACATACAAGGAATATTATACAAGTATGTAGGATCAAAAGAGGCAGCTTGTTAAGCAAAGCTCTAAAACCAAAATGCAAATATTCAGTCATTAAAATGTTCAGCTATTAAGTATCCAGTAACATTTTTCCAAGTACATTTTTAACTCAGTTCAAAATCTGTCTCCCATGAGGGATAGATTTTCAGGGAGGAAAACAGATATCATGTTTGTTAAAACATATTAGGCGGGCAGCTGAGCTGAGCTTGAGTCAACTTGGCTCAGTTGGTAGTGCTCTTGCCTCGAGTTCAGAAGGTTGTGGGTTCAAGCCCATGTAGGGACTTGAACCAATATATTCTATGCTGACCCTCTCTAAAAAAAAAAAATCCTTGCATTTGATATAGCGCTTTTCACGTCGGGAGGACGTCCCAAAGCGCTTCACCGAACACACTGTAAAGTGAATTGACTGTATATTTGTGGGCGAACGCGGCAGCCAATTGCGCACAGCAATGTCCCACAAATAGTCGTAGATTGAAAATGACCAATTTATTATTGTTTTTGGTTTTGGAGGGATTATTATTAGGCTCTGTGTGGAGTAAGGAAACTTGCCCAAGGTTTCGCCCTACTTGGAATTGAACTCAGGTCTCTCGCTTGCAAAGCGAGTGCTCTAACCACTGAGCTACAGGACTCCACTCTCGTGCTGTGTTGGGGGTTTGCTGCATTATTGGAAGTGCTGTCCAGGTGGATGTTATGGATTCAAAGGCACTATCCGAAAAGAGAAGGGAGTTTATCTCCCAAATAAGATTGGTCGCTCATTCCATGGTTATTTGTGGGACATTAATGTGCACAAATTAGCTTCCGTGTTTTCCCACAAAACAGTCATACCACTTTACAGTATATCGTACAAACCACTTTTGAGACTTCAATAGCATAATAATTCACTTTATCAAATAGCATAATAATTCACTTTATCAAATGTAAGGGTTATTATCAATAAGGTGAAAGGTTTCACAACGGAATATTGTAATCGAGTCATTCCTTTGGTCTTTGTAAGCAGGTTTCAGAGTCAGGCAGGTCCATAGAACTGTGGGCACTGCTGAGGGCAGACCAGCCAGCCAGTCTTATCAGCAGGACTTGGGTGAAGCAGACCAGTCATTGGAAGCAGATATTCTTTACTCCTGTTAACCCTGCAAGCCAAGCCCTAGGATGGTCATAGGAAAGCTTGCCAGACAGTGCTCTCAATGGTAAGCTATCTGGTGTTAACAGGTTAAATCCAGTTACCGCAAAGCACACTATAGGATCTCTACGCTCCTGCTAATTTGGTTTTAATACTAGGTAAACAAGAGTTAGGTAAATAAGCTGCATCTCTTGAGGGGGGGTGGGGGTGGGCAGGGGCTTATGTCTGGTTCGGACTCTTCAGCATGGTGATGTTTTTCTGCATATATTATGCATGTATCCTACTCCATGTCCGCCGCCCAACCCACCATCAGCGGTCAAGCCTTCAGCCTCTCTGCCCCCACCCTCTGGAACTCCAGCTCATATTCCGTTCCGACATGTTCCCTCCCTTGCCTCCTTCAAGGCACGCCTCAAGGCCCTCCTCTTTGGCCACCCTTCTACCCTTTAATTAAAATTAGCTTTTTTTTAAAAAAGTGTCAATATAAAATAGTGAACATGTGAGCCCAGAAAGGTTCAGGACAAAGTCTGAGGACAAATAGTAATGAAAAGCCATGAGACAGAAGCAAACTGAAATGTTGCACAGACTCCTTTTTATTATGAAAGAAATTACCTCCATTACCAAAGGAGAAACCATATTAGTGGTTACAACAATTTCTGCTTGAAGCATTGTGAAACTCAGAATGAAACTATTAACTGTTATTATTTTAAACATGCACATGTTTATTTGGAGCCAAATGGATTTCGCTGTAGTTTCCACTTCAGCGAAAATCCATGAGCTTATTATAAATAATGATAATCGCATGATAACCACAGAGCTTACCAATATAAATCACTGGTAAGCTTCATTGGACAATGAACTGGAACTGCATCACTCATTGGGGCTTTGGCTCACAGTGTTGAGAACATGCCTACATCTCTAGGTTTTAATGATAAATCAGACTGGCTGGTCGAATACCAATGATGCCTTGCATTACCACAGATTTGCTTGGAATTGTCAGTTTCCTTTCACCTCTTTTTCCTTGCCCACAACAATATTTATCAAATTTGATGAAAGCTGAGTTTACAAATTAAGATTCTACCTAGAACCTTCTAGTGCTCAACCAACTGAGCTTCCCTGCACACTCCAAAGTGTCAATGGCCAATATTCCTTTTCCATTTTTTTTGGGAAGATTAGACAATTGGTCTGGATACACCTTTCCAAACAGAACTCTGTTCATGGCCATAGCATGAACAGGACACATCCACCAAACTGTACTCACAGCAAATTCTTCTGGTGTCACCTTCAGGACATCAAACACCACAGCATCAAAGCTTTTCTTTGGATCAGAAGAAGCTCTCTCACTCAGAGACTCGGAGCTGCTACTTTTCTGCAAGAACAAAAGTACTTTAGTTACGGAAAGTCAGGCTCTCGTCAGCTAAAACACAGTAATCAGCTCCTTGGGACGTCCTCTCAACGTGAAAGGCACTAAACAAATGTAATTTTGTTGTTGTTGTAATCACATTGATTGTACTGAAAATGTCACAAGACAAAACTGAACAGTTTAATAGACAGAGGTATATTTGGAGATTTAATTTGATATCTATGTTGTTCATTTGAAGGTTTTGATGAATAGCATCTGGAAATAACAACAGCAACAACAAAATTACATTTGTATATGAAGTTACAATTCTTAACAAACCCTAGTTCCAATGGTCACTAATTGGTAACTTGCAGCCTGTTTAGTACACTGCAGAGAAAACATAGGTTTTACTCTGGACTCTGCACTGGTTAGAGCAATTGAGACCAGTGGATTGAACAAGAGTCAATCACTGCAACATTGAAGAGTTGCAGCCAGCCACAAGTCTTCTATAAGACAGTGTAGAAATAACATCTAAAAAACAGCGCAAGCTGCAATGGGTAAACTCATCTAAAAATGTCGACACAAAGTAACTCAGCAACAAGTCACTTGTCTCCAAATGTGGAAATCTCGCAATATCAGCTGGAACAGTCACCGCTCATGCAGAAGCTTGAATTTCAGAGTTATTAATGCACACTTGTTGAACCAGGTTTGTTTGGGAAATCTATGATTTGGTCAATGTGCAATTGCTGAAGTCTTTCTTTACTTCCTGAAGCCACCATGTCAATTATGAGGTTATTGGTCATCATATGCAATTCGCCCCAGTTGTCCAAGTCATGCCACATGAAGAAAAGCTGGAGCATTTTATGATTAAAAGGCATTTTGGCCACAATAAGGTCATTTCAAAAAAACATATTTTCCTTTCTTCGAAATAGTGAGGATCTATATTCTCAAAGTGGATACCATTCATACATACAAAGTGTAACATGGGGGTCAACTACCACATGTATGCAGATGACGCTCAATTCTACCTCTGCAACATCGCCCAGCTCCGCCACTGCCTCTCCCCTCATCCACTCATTCGTTATGCTCAGGCTCGGACGACACAAACTCCCTGCTTCCGGCCTTCCTAATTCTTCTTGCCACAAGCTGCAGATCATTCAGAACTCTGCAGCTCATGGCCTCTCCCACACCATGCTCTGTGACCCGATCACCTCCATCCTTGCCTGACTCTATTGATTCCCCACCCTCCAGAGGATAGAGTTCAAAATCCTCGTCCTTGCCTTCAAAGCCTTCTTCGGCCTTGCGCCTGACCATATCTGTAACCTGTCAACTCCATATAGACCTGTCAGTTCCCTCCGATCTAGCCTACTTGATATCCCCTGTCTGTCCACCCATCATCGGGGGTCAGGCATTGAGTCACTCTGCCCGCACCCTTTGGAACTCCATTCCACAGTACCTTTGCCTCCCTCCCTTGCCTCCTTCAAGGCCCGCCTCAAGACCCTCCTCTTCGAAACCTTCAGTCACCCTCCTATCCCAAACCTCCACCCGTTCTGATTCCAACCACCAGCTCAAGTCCAAATCCCTGGCTATCCAGAACCTTGGCACATCTTCCCGATGTGAAAGACGCTATACAAGTGTAATTTATTGTTGTTTCTAAACACATTTACATTTTAAAAAGTCACCCCACAACACATAACATTAAAAAACTGCATTTAGTCTTTCTCCAGCCTTCCGTTGGGAGGGAGAAGCACTTTGTAGTGAATGGATTTCCTCTTTGCAATTGCACTGTACACTTATTTGCCAGCAGAACTATCATAGTTGAAAACAATGTTTGATGCTCTGATCCACAGTGCCATCTATTGGATATTCAGTTTAATCCAGGTCTCATCGTTTGCAGTGAATTTGCAAATATTGGTCAGACCGATCCTTGAATTTAATACAGCACTTTGTCACATCCTAATTTCTCAAAGTGCTTCACAGATTTTTTCGTAAAGTGTAATTAATTACTGTATATTTAAAAGTAAACATAGCAGCCATAAATTGAAAATCCTTTTTTCTTAATCTGCGGGATTATTGCCCAGAATACTGGGAGAAACTCCTTTCACTTCTCAAATAGTGTCACAGGATTTTTAATATCCACCTGAACAAGTAGACCAGACCTCGGTTTAATGTCTCATCAGAAGGACACCATCAATGACAATGCAGTGCTCCCTCAAGTCTACAAAGATGGGGGTTGATTCCACAACTTCTAACTCAGAAGCAAGGGTGCTATCAACTGAGCCAGGTTCTGAAGAATACTTGCAAATATAGTTCCAGGGGATGGAAAATAATGATTCACCTGTAAGGCAAATCAAGTTAAACTATCATTAGCAGAAAAAAAAATTGGGAAAACTAAATAGAATGTACCACTGAAGTTCTTTAGATCAACAAAGAGAGACTATGGCAATTACATTGAGGTAAAAAGGTGGCAAGGTGGAACTGCTTTTGCAATAGTCATTCTTTTCGTTTTTAGCTTTTTCAAGTGTATGCAGACTGACTTTGATTTATTTCTGCAACAATTTTGGCTTCAAAACATACTCTGCATTCGATGATCCAGATCAATATCCAGAGAGAAGAGAAATGGCATTTGAAGAGTTACAAATACATTAAATTAGATCAGGAATTCACTTAAAATTATCAGTGTCCCAAAGTTGGACCCTTTCCCTATTTAATAAAATTCTTCATTTATATAACATCTTCCACATAAATAAAATAAAATCTCGTTTCATGGCTGTTTTTGGGAAATTGTTGTGGCAAACTAGCTGCTGCATTTCGCCAACAAAACATGCAGTACATCCTGTGAAGTGCTTTAAGACGTCTTGACAACGTCATCAGGGAGTATAATAATAATAATAATAATCCTTGCATTTGATATAGCGCTTTTCACGTCGGGAGAACGTCCCAAAGCGCTTCACAGAACACACTGTAAAGTGAATTGACTGTATATTTGTGGGCGAACGCGGCAGCCAATTGTGCACAACAATGTCCCACAAACAGTCGTAGATTGAAAATGACCAATTTAATTATTGTTTTTGGAGGGATTATTATTAGGCGTGTGGAGTAAGGAAACTTGCCCAAGGTTTCGCCCTGTCTGGAATTGAACTCAGGTCTCTCACTTGCAAAGCGAGTGCTCTAACCACTGAGCTACAGGACTCCACGAGTATACCAAATGCAAGGTTATTATAGGAAATAAATGTTGAGAAAATCTGCTTTACGATACATAATTAATTAGAAAGGAACTGAATGTTGTTACATCGGCAAACCTGACAGCTAATCTGCACCAGTAAAGTTCCACAATAAAGTGATGTGCAGACAATTAATTTGGATTTGGGGCTAAATTTGGACGAGGAGGGGAATACAAAGCAGGATAATAAATCAGGAAAACCCTAAGTTTGTGTAAAACAGCAATGTCAGGGTGGTTGCTTTATATTCCAAGACAGGCAGTGCCAAAATCAATACAAATGAGAAAGGATCTGTCTACCAAGAGCTACACTACAAGTTTTTTTTCTGCAAAACAAGGTGTTTGGAATGGAAGCTATGTCCAAAAGATCAAGGCTTAGCTACATGCACCTGCTGGAGAATGTTTTGCCTTGGGGAAAATCACCAACAAGAACAAGCAGAACCACATAAACTGGACTGGCAAAATACTCCAGTTCAATACTAAGGAGTACAAAATGTCTCACCTCTGAAGGAACAGCCGTGAGATTAACAGTACAGAATTGTCCGTTGGTCAGGTCCATACTTTCCACACCATCCGTCCCTTGGAAGTAACACAGCAACACTATGGAAAATACATTATCAAGACACGAGCTTCATGATTCCTGCAACATAAAGAAAAGGCAACAGTCAGGCAATGGGTCTATAACATACCAGCGTTGTACACTTACTTGAAAAACACCTACATTCCAAGACAGACATTTTGTTAATTCAGAGGGATATTTTATTCCTTTCAGCAACAAACTGCTTTACTACTTCAAACCTGTACCTTAGTACAAGTTGGCAATGCAGTTGATGACTTATAAATGATTCACAAAAGTAGACTCAAGAATTTAACATTGGAACTCCCAATTGTACAGTGATGAGCTATTAATTACACAATATATTCATGTTGGAACCTCTTCCTGATGTGAAAGGCACTATACAAATGTGATTTTGTTGTTGTTGTAAATATTAACCGTTTAAGCTACTATATTCATGCTCAAGGTGTAATATTTGCTCAAATGCTAAATATTTCAAGTCTTATCATTTAGGTTGGTTGCTCATAAATGATATAATAATCCTTACAAGTAATACACCTTTTACATCAGAAGGCCATCTAAAAGCCTTTATAGGATACACTATAAAGTGCAGTGACCGTGTATAGTCCTAGGCAAATGTGGCAGACAATTTGTGCACAATGTCCCACAACCAGTCATGAAGTGAATTGCCAATTTTATCTGGGGTATTTTTGGCCAGGACACCAGGACAACCGTACTTATCTTTTCAAATAATGCCACGGGATCTTTGACGTGAATCTGAATAAGCCAACAGGACCTCAGTTTAACATCTTATCTTACCTTTGGCACCTCTAACAAGGCACCCCCACATTGCTTTGTCAGCCTGGTGTCTAGGTTGAGTTCTAAATCCCAAACTAGGGCTTGAACCCACAATCTAATGTCTCAGAGGCAAGAAGACTACCAACTGAGCCAGCCTGACACAGAATCTAGATGCTAGCACACAGAAACAACAACAAATTGCATTTATATAGCTTGTTTTATGTCGGGAGGATGTTCCAAGGTGCTGGACCGTTTCACCCAAACCGGCAGTTGGATTCAGGAGGGGTGGGGCCAAGGGGGCGGACCAAGGAACACTGCAAAACTGACTGTGCAGTGGGAGGAGAGCCTTTGGCAGATATGAATTGGAGACGTTGGGATAGGTAAGAATGAAACCAGGAAAGGACAGAACCATGAACCATGGGCTGAGAGGAAAGGCAGTGGAGACGAACAAAATGGTCCAGTGTGTCGACGGACAGAGGAGAGAGAAGAGGGAGAAAGTGTGGGGGGGCTGTTTAGAGGGAGTGATGAGTGGTGGTGGGTGAGAGGAGGGGGGCGGGATGGAGGAGAGTTTGGGGGGTGTCTAGTGGCAAACAGGTTTTGCTGAAACCTGGAGGTTGTAAATTTGATCAGCACAACTAACAGTATTTGCATTCAACAACAACAACAAGATTCCATTTATTGAGCGCCTTTTACGTCGGGAGGACGTCCCAAGGCGCTGTACAGTTGGGTCAGGACCCGAACAAGGGGGAAATGATCAGGGTGAAAGGAGGGAAAGGAGGGAGCGAGGAGGGGGTAGAGAGTCGAGAGGGGAGCTGAAGGCACAGTCAAAGAGAAAGGTCTTGAGACCGGCCTTGAAGGAGAAAAGGGAGGAAGCGGCGAAGGCACTGGGGGATAGAGTTCCAGAGCCTCGGGGCTGAAGGCCCGGACACTGATGGTAGGGCGGTTGGGGCGGGGGATGTGGAGCAGACCGGAGCCAGAGGAACGGAGGGTACGGGCAGGTAGGTAGGGGGATAGTAGGTCGGAGAGGTAGGATGGAGCGAGGCCGTGAATGGCCTTGTAGGTGAGGGTGAGGATCTTGAACTCGATCCTCTGGGGGATGGGGAGCCAGTGGAGGCGAGTGAGGGTGGGAGTGATGTGTTCCCGAAGCCTGGTGAGAGTTCTGAATGACCTGCAGTGTGGAGGGAGGTGCCGGGAAAGCCGGCGAGGAGAGAGTTCCCATAGTCGAGTTCCCATTCAAAGAATTATTGAATCTATTTAGTCAAATTAGAAATCATATTAATTTGATAATCCTGAATTCAATTAGTGTCCTTGTATAATGATAGACATTCAATTTTAACTGACCAACTACTAGTTTATGCTATGAAACATTTGTCGTACAACTTCCTGTTAACGGAAACTTCCTGCTGTTCCAACTAATAGAAAATGAACTCCAAAAGATGAACAATTATAAGCTTGTGCAGAAATTAAATTATTAAATCATAAGGAGATTAAAATTGGTTTCTTTCATGTGTCAGCTACATAACAAATTACCCTTCCTTCCCCATTTTCAGATCACGCCTCTTTGACCGTACTTACAGTCACTACCCCCCCAGCTCAGCATCAAGCTCCACCACTATTAAGCACTCCGAGACACTACCCTGTGTGAAGAGCGTTAGAAAAACGCAGGTTCTTCTTACGAATTTCTCCAAGTACTGCCTGCAGCACACTATTATTAACACTCCAATAAACAGCATCTAATGGTAGTTTCCATCTTGATAGTTTCCTGATCAGAGAAACACAATAAGGCAGGAATGTTAACTCATATTGCTCTTACACACCTCATAGCAGCCACTTCAAAAAACAGCCTTGAGGAGAGATGCACTTCATTTCACACTATCAGAAAGGGTATATAACATTAATGTGTCCCAAATGGAAACAAAAAAAAATGACACTCCTTTATCCCATCAAAAAAGCTACATTTGAAGACAGCAGTGCACTGTAACACAGGACTTTGAAGACATGCTGGATTTGTGATACTAATGATACTGGAGTAACTTGGGAATTTGTTGGCCAGGATGCCATGAAAACTTCTTTCTCTTTTCATGTGATATTTAGCATCTACCTAATGCAACAACTTGCATTTATATCAAACCCTCCACACAAATATACGGTCAATTTACTTTACAGCTTATTCTGTGAAGCGCTTTGAGACGTCTGGAAGACGTGAAAAGCATTATATCAAATGCAAGGATTTTTATTATTATTATTGTTAACCGTGGCAAAGCGTGACACTGATGGGGAAAGAGAGGAGTGGGCATAGGCACAATTGAAGAGGAAGGTCTTCAGGTGTGATCTGATGATGGGCAAGGAGGGGGCAAGGCAAAGGAATTGAGGCAGAGCGTTCCAGGATTTATTAAACTTTTCCTCAGTACTAAATACATATTTCTTCATACAGACCACTGTGATCTGTGCCCCCAGCTCGGGTCCGAAACACTGCAACACCTTGAGATGTCCTCCCGACGTGAAAGGAGCTATACAAATATAATTCTGTTGTTGTTTCATCCCAATAACATACAGTCAAAACCACTTTACAGTGTATCCTATGAAGTGCTTTAAGATGTGTCGATGAAGTGATAAGTCATAGCACCTTTCATGTGGGGAGAATGTCTCAAGGCCCTCACCAATACTGACTGGCATGCGAGGTGGTAATTGAGGGAGGTATGGAGGGGAAAGGTGAGTGAAAGCGTGGTCAAAGAGATATTTTACCTAAAAATAACTTTTTTTTAAAGCACCAACAAGTTTTAAATATTTGATACTAATGTTTTGCAATTATGTTTTAGGTGCCTATAATGTAGCCACCTATAATTTCTAGCTGATGTATCATTAAAAGGAACAAAGTCCCAAGAGAAAACTCAATATCAAAGTTGTTGATAATCTGATAGAGATTGTTCATGTTTGCAATTGACAAGGAAAATAGAATTTTAACTGCTCCTTGGTGATAAATTTTCTGTTGATCGCCTCCATTATATACAGTACTGTCAAATGAAGAGGTCAGCTAAGTAACCTGTTTTCAGGCCTCTTGCAAAACAGCTCCATGTTTGGTTTCAAGGAGATGCACTAGAACATTCTCCTGCCAACATGGCTTAAGATCATGCTTCCACCAACCCTCCAAAGCAGCTGATATTAGAAACACATCTTGTAAATCATAGCAAATGTTGAGTTAGATTGTATCTGTGACACAGAAAGGGGAGTAAAGAAGTTGCATTTTATAGAACCCATCATGTCAAAATTCTATGCAGCCTATGTCACAGCTCCTCACATAAAGAGCATCACTATCAGGTGCAGTAATTGCTCCCTGAAGGCAAACGTGGTAGCCATCCATCCAACAGCAATATCTCGTGCACACCAATGCCAATGCTCAGAAATAGATTAATTATTTCATCTATTGCCACAGGGCAAACAACAACAACTTGGATTTATATAGCGCCCTCCACACCGGACGGCGTCTGAAAGCTTCACAGAAACGGATCACAGGGCCGAGCCAGGGGGAGGGGGAGGAAGGCGACTAAAGGTGTGGTCGAAGAGAAAGGTCTTCAGCCGAGACCTGAAAATAGGAAGAGAGGGGGCGAGGCGAAGGGAGTGAGGAAGGAAGCTCCATAGCCTCGGGGCGAAGTGGCTGAAGGCAGGAGGATTCAGCAGACAAGGAGGAAGCTAGACCCGGTGGAGCGAAGGCAATGGGCACTGCTGTGAGGAGAGAGGAGGTCAGAGAGGTAGGGGAGTGCAGAGGAATGGAGAGTTTTAAAGACAAGAGTGAGGATCTTAAAATCGATCCTCTCTGGGACAGGCAGCTAGTGCAGTCTGGCAAGGACTGGGGTTGTCGCGGAGCGATAACCTGCCTATTTATGGTACAAAACAGTGAATTATTTTATATGTTTAATATTAATATACTGTAATATTACAGGACCGCACACATTTCACAGCAAAAAGTACCACATTGCACTATTTTGCAAAGTCAAGGAAAATGTGAGCTATTAATCGAAAACATTTGATGAAATGTACCTACAAACATCCACTAGGAGGCAGCATCTACTTGCTACATTATTATACATCAAGTCTTCTCACTGCGTACAACATACAGTGCCCAGTGAAAAGGATAATCAGGTCTCGTTGACGAAATAATTAAACTGGGGATCAATCCTGAATTCTAATGAACAATTTTATCCAAAATGTTAAAACATCTTTCTCTTTCAAATGCTAATCAATCTGCTGACGATTTATGGTTTTGTTTCAGATTTCTCGAACGCAGT